GGAAGTATCAAGCGGGAGCTTCGTTTGTGAGTGAATTGTGAGGAAGTGTGATTCCAGGTTCCATGGGTCCCGCACTTCATGTTGGTAATCCGAGCGGATCATCCTCAACCCTGTAACTGTTGTCATTTTTGGGCTCCTGAGGCTTACGTATAGAGGAAGTATCAAGTTGGAGCTTCGTCTGTGAGTGAATTGTGAGGAAATCTCAGGCGGGAACCCCCTCCCTGAGGGTCCCGCATTTCAGGTTGGTAATCTGAGCGGATCATCCTCACCCCTGTAATTGTCGTCATTTTTGGGCTCCTGAGGCTTAGGTATGGAGGAAGTATCAAGTTGGAGCTTCGTCTGTGAGTGGATTGTGAGGACGTCTCAGGCGGGAGCCCCCTCCCAGAGGGTCCCGCATTTCAGGTTGGAAATCCGAGCGGATGTTCCTCAACCTTGTAACCGTCGTCACTTTCAAGGTCCTGCGAGCGGATCATCCTCAACTCTGTAGCTGTCATTATTTATTGGGCTTTTGAGGCCGGGGTATGTAAGAAATATCAGGCGGCAGCCTCGTTTGTGAGTGGATTATGAGGAAGTCTCAGGCGGGAGTTTCCTCATGGGTGCCGCGCTTCATGTTGGTAATCCGAGCGGGTCACCCTCAACCTTGTAATTGTCGTCGAGTTTGGACTTCTGAGGCCTCAAAAGGGAGGTAGTACCCGGCAGGAGCTCCGTGTGTGAGTGAAGTATGAGGAAGTCTCAGGCGGGACCCCCTGTCTATGGGTCCCGCATTTCATGTTGGGAGTCCGAATGTGTCATTCTCTACCGTGTAACCGTCGGTATGTTTTGGTTCCTGAGGTTTCAGTGGAGGAAGTATCTGGCGGCATTTTTTGGGGGGAGGGAATTGTGCGGAAGTCTCAGGCGGGAGCCCCCTCCCCCCTATGGGTTCCGCATTTCATGTTGGCAATCCGAGCGGGTCATTCTCAACCTTGTAGCTGTCGTCACTGTTGGGCTCTTCGGGCCTGGAAACGCTGGAAATCTCGTGCTGGAGCCTCGTCTGTGAGTGGCTCGCGAGGAGGTCTCGAGCGGGGGCCGCTCCCTATGGGAGCCACTGGGACACGTGTAGTACGCGCACCCTTTGGGACGTGCTTTGCACGCACCCATTGGGGCACGTGCTGCAGCGAGCAGGAGTTCACGGGGCAGAGCTCGGGGACGCACGTCGTGCACCGCTCGGGGTTCACCTTGACGCACGCGTCTTAGCATACCTCCACGCTGCCGCAGGGCCAGACGCTGCGCAAGGGCGTCACCATTGACTGCGCCACGGGCATGTCACCCGTGCAGTGGTGGCTGCACTTCTACGTGATGTTCCACCGCGCCACGTACATGCGGAACATGCTGATCCTGCGGCCGCCCCCGCGAGACATCCTGGAGCGCGGGCCGCCAGCGGCCCTGCGGACGGCGCTCCATAAGTTTGAGGCCAAGCAGTTCGCCGCGGAGCTTGGCTTCGTGCTGCCTCCCGCCTGAGCGTCGCGGCGCGCAGCTAGAGTCTAGAGGCCCGCGGGGTTGTCCCAACGGTCTGGCCCGCGGGGTTGTCCCGACGGCCTGCCCCCGCGCCCCAGCGGCCCGCGGGGTTGCCCCAACGGCATCGCCCGCGGGGCTGTCCCAAAGGCTTCGCGAACCAGCCGTCGGCGAACGCGCGCGCTGGCTGGCCGAATGGAAGACGGCGCCGAGGAAACTCGCTTTGCTTGCCCTGACTAGGGGGGTGGGGTGGGGGGTGGGGTGGGGGAGCACATGGATAAGAAACAGGGGAAGGATGAGGACGGGGTAGAGGTAGGGAGAGGGCGATGATGATGCGAATGACGAAGGTGATGATGACGATGATGAGGATGAGGATGATGGTGATGGTGGTGATGATGATTAGGAGGAGGAGGGAGAAGAACATGAGGAGGAGGAGGAGAAGGATGAGGATGAGGGGAATACATAGAAATATGAGGGTGGTACATAGAAGGAGGAGGAGAAGGAGGAGGAGGATGAGGAGGATGAGGAGAGGGTATAGCAGTGGGCGAGAGCAGGGTGTCCGCCAGGGTGAGGAGGGAAGGGCTACGGGCTAGCCAAAACGATGCTCATGCGGGGTCCTTCCGCCGGAGTCATTTTTGATCGTGAGTAGCTTTCGCACTTTTCGTGGGCATTCAGCTTGTAAGGGGGACGTGCCCGATTTGGCGATACGTTCCAGGATTCCAGTATTTCCTCCTGTTCCGCCCCCGTTGCGCCGCTGGTTTCTCAGGAACGTCTGGACCGTATCTTGAGCCAAGCTCATCGTGACATCGCTATCGCCTTACACCTGGTCCTGATTGCAGGTCGACCGTGCCAAGTCGGGGGTACCACTGTGCCTTGTCTGTTTTGGCACATGCAAACGTCATGCCATGTGGCGTTATTGGGCCACGTTGCCGTCGGAAAAGTGTTGTGTTCTCTCGGGTGTCCTGTCCAATCAAGTCCGACTGTACGGTCGGTGCATGCGGGGATCGCGCGGTTGCGACGTTGGCGAAGGCGTTCAAGGTGGAATGCTGCGGCACGGAAGCACCGAGGAACAGTAGCGACACTGGACCCGACTGAATTCAACCTTGAACGATCGGGCCCGCGATCGATGCAAGGTGAAACGATCGACGCGGTGTCAAAAACGTTTGCGCGCGCCGACGCCACACGAACCTACCGTGCCCTCGTGTTTTTCTTTCGGGTCTGGCGGGTGGTAGTGGGGGGTGACCCAATCAGGGGTTGAAGAACAGGCCGTTGAAGGCCCCCTTTTGGGGCCAGCTGGTGGCCCAAAGGGGCCTTGAAGGGCCCTTTTAGTGTTTTTGTTCCTTCGCACCCAATTTGGGTCACCCCCCCCATTGCAGTGGAAACCCGTGCCAAGAAACAACCTGCTTGCCTCTAGGGTGCCCTGGGTTTCTCAGGTTTCGATGGTTTTGCTATGGACAGCGTGCCGTCCCCACACCAAACATCAGGGGACGTCCTGGGGTCTCAGGGTTGGGTTTCTTGTGTAAGGTTTCTTGTGGTCGAGCTCCTGCTGTAATATTACCACCCGCCCGATCAGGGGAGGGTTCCAGCGTCCCCTGGCCTTGGAGGCTTGGAAAGGGGCACCAACACCAACACCCAACACAGGGGGCTGCCTCCACAAGGGGGAGGGTGATCCTAGATCTCGGTGCTGGTGGTCATGTTTCGGTCGCCTTGGAGGCCAGAGTCTTACCACCATCACCGAAATCGGAACCTTCTTCCCTCGGAGGAGGCACGCCGCCGATGTTGGTTTTGGTGTCAACCTCGAGGCCTGCGATAGCCCTGCGGGCGGCGGAGAGGTGGTGCCGCTGCGCCGCCCCACAGCGCCGCAGAGCCGCAGTGAACCGAGGGAGCCATGGGCCCGTGACCGCGCTGCGTGGGCTCGTGCCGGGCCGCTGGCCGCGGGAGAGCGCGTACAGCCGCCCGCCGCGAAGGTTTTGGCAGTCCTCTTCCCTCTCCCCCCTCCTCGTCCTCCTCCTCCGCCTCCTCCGCCTCCTCCTCCCTCCTCCTCCTCCGCCTCCTCCTCCTTCCTCCTCCTCCTCCTCCTTCTCCTCCTGTTCCTCCTCCTCCTCCTCCGCCTCCGCCTCCTCCTTGTCCTCCTCCTTCTCCTCCTCCTCCCCCTCCTCCGCCTCCGCCTCCGCCTCCGCCTCCTCCTCCTCCGCCTGCGCCTCCGCCTCCGCCTCCGCCTCCTCCTCCGCCTCCTCCTCCTCGATGCGGACGAAGGCGGGGTGTCTGTGGTGATGCGTCAGTTTCGGCGGCGAGCGAGGACTCTGCGGCGAGGGGGGAAGCTTCGAGGCTCGCTGGGGGCGTTTTGGGGGTGCCGGGATCGTTCCGAACGGCCGCCGGAGATCCGAGTTTTGACCCCTAAACATTCGGCGGCGCGCCTGGGGGTGAAGAAGGAGGAGGCCCCCTCGGAAGGCGGTGGGGCTTCTCAGAAGCCCTCCGGCCTTTCCAAGAAGATTTCTGTGTCCCCGGGGAGGCTTCGGACACTTCTCAGAAGGCTGGGGGGCCTTCGAGCCATTCGAGAGGGCCCGCCCCGTCTCACTTCCCACCCAGGCGCGCCGCCGATCGTTGGTCAGTGATGTTCTTTATTGTCGTAGGGTGCCCCTTGGATGTGGAGGAGGAGGAGGAGCAGGAGGAGGAGGACCCTTCCCAGTCGTCCCCCAGCCCTTGCTTCCTCTCTTCCCGCTGTGCGTGCTTGCCCTCTCTCTTTCCCCTTCAGGCCTTCTCGGCGCTGGCTTCCTTCATGGCCCACATACATCCTCTTTCTTGTTTGTTGCTTATCTGGTTTCCCCCCAGCACCCATTCTTACCAATTCTCACTCACGACTGTTGTGTTCTTCCTTTCCTCCTCCTCCTCCTCGTCGTTTTTGTTGTTGTTCCTTCTTATTATCTCTGTCTCTCTCTCTTTAGGCCTCTCTCTCTCTCTTTGTCTCTCTTTCTCTCTCTCTCTCTCTCCTTCTCTCCCCCTCTCTCTCACTTTCTCTATCTCTCTCTCTCTCGCTCTCTTCGCCCCCCCTCTCTCTCTCTTTCCTCGCGCCCCTCTCCTCTCTCCCTCTCCCAGATACCCAGCACAATCCCTGTGAAAACACAGGGTTCGCGATGCTAGGAATGCGGAAATCCTGTGTTTTCATTGGGAGTCTGAGGATTTTGGGAACGAGAAGTGAGGAAGCCATGTGTTTTCATGTGAATTTTGTTGGAGTTGTTTTGGGGGGGATTTTTTTGGGGGGGAGTTTTCTCCCTCCAGCGAAAATCCAACCCAGGAGCCCCCCCAGGAGCTCCGATCCCCAGAATCCCCCAAATCCCAAGCATCCAAATTATGCCACATGATTTCCACATCATCCCAGAAATCCCGAAAACCAAACGAAACCACACAGGATTTCCTCATATACGTGTATACATATACACGTGATAAAACGTAGAACTACATCAACTTCTTTCTGTCTCTCTCTGTCTCCGAGTGTTTCCGCCTCCTAGGCTTCCAGGAAGCTGCTGACCGCGCTGCGGGACATTGTCGTGGAGTACCTCGTTGGGCAGTACGACTCTGGAGCCCCGCTTTTGCAGGCCGGGCTCCATTTGCTGAGCACACGTGCAGGAAGGAATTGGTGCAGGGTGTGCGGGGACACAGCGTCACAATTTTTTTCGCGAGCCAGCGTCTGATGGTAATTAGCGTTTGCTGGGTGACCGCGTTATCGGTGAAAGTCTGCCGTACCAAACTAGCTTATATCTACATCCAGAGTCGCGCCGACGGCCTGGTGCAATTTACCAGGCTGGGTCCACGTCTGGCGTTGCGTTCCCCTTTTGTTCATGATTTTGAAGGCATTGTTGGAGCTGCGGTCGTCCCCTGCAAGAGTGGACAGAGAAACGATGACAAGGGGGTGAAGAGGAGCAAAGGAGAATGATGAGGCGGACGAGGAGGAGGACATCTGGAAGTCGTGACTGGCGGAAGCCCGAACACGGCGAGCGGGAGGCGCTCGCTTTCGCGCGGCCCCATTTCCGGCGACTTGGCACAGGAAGAGCTCGCCGACCTCAAAGCGAGAGCGCGGTTTCTTGGCACGTCCTGGGGCTAGAAGCGACGACAGGCATTCCGCTCGTGGGCGCACGACCCTTCGCTTGCGGAGGCGCCGCCAGGGAAACGAGGCACTGCGCCTCCTAGCGCGAGCACATTTTCTGGGAGAGGCTTGCGCGGCCTGGAGGCGAGCCATCTCCGCTCTCTCGGCTCGGGTGCACCCTCGCATCCGACGACGGGGCGAGCGAAAAGTGTGCGCCGCTCCCAGGCGAGTGCCCAACTTGCCTGGAAAGTTGGGGCTTCCTCGGGGCCTCGTCGGGGCCTCTCTTGAGGGCCTCTTGGGAGCTCCTGGGGGCCTCTCCGGGCCGAGGGCTCGAAGTGTCCGTTCGGGTCCCCCCTTTGGGCCCGCTCCTGGAGCTGTCTTGGGCGCCTCTTGGGCCGTCTTGGGGCCCTCTTGGGGCCGTCTTGGACATCTCGCTGCGACCGCTGCCTTGCCCTCTCCGCCGTCTCAGAGGCGGGGGAGGGCTCTGTGTCGGAGGCCCTCGGAAAGGGTCTTGTGCCCTCTCGTGTGCCTGCTCGAATCGAACTCTACCGCGTGTGCCCAGCTGGCGCCCTCCGACGGGGGCTCCGAGGCCGGCGGGCGGGTTCGGGGATTCGAAGAATCAGGAGGGAAAGAAGCACACAGACACAATTCATCGTCGACTCCCCAGAATCTCTCTGGGAAAATATGGGAAGTGGGGGGGAAGGCAAAACCCCAGAACACATGGGGAAATAAGGGGAATCCTGTCATTTGTGTGTATTTGCTTGTGTGTCCCAGGGCCCCTTCAAAGAAGAAAAACGGCATAACCAGAAGCTTGAGGGGCTCCGCGCGGATTTCTTGGATCTGCGTTGGGCCCCCCCCCCGGGCAGCGCTTCCGGCGCCGCCCCTGGCGCGCTGCGCGAGGAAGGGAGGGGGGTCCAGCGCAGATCCGAGAAGTCCGCGCGGAGCGCCAAGAGTTTATGTTTGTGCCGCTTCTCTTCTCCCCAGGGATGGCAGCGGCAGCGGGGCCCCGCAGGTCTTCGACACCAACTGCGGCGAGGTGCCCCCGGGCGTCTACGAGGACGCTCTGCCCCGCTGCCCCCGCCCTCCCCGGAGGCTCGCGGCCTGCCCTGTCCCCGGGCCTCTGGGGTGGGCTCGGCCGAGCGTCTGGAGGAGGAGGGGGAGGAGGAGGAGGAGAAGGAGGAGGAGGCGGAGGAGGAGGAGGAGGAAGAGGGAGGAGGAGGAGGAGCAGGAGGAGCAGGAGGAGTAATATGTCGGCGCACTCAGCGCACGATAAAGCTCAGGCGAGAGCAGTGACACCACATCATCTCTGCAGTGCAAGGCCGGGACACGTGGTAAGCACCTTCTGCTGCGCGCTTGCCCGCACTGCCCTCGCACTCGGGCCTAGATGGATACGTACGCGCCACCGTGCACACGGTCAGGGAGGGACTATTGCGGGGGTGGGTGGGAAGGTTACGGGGGGCAGGGTTGGGGAAGTCACAGTAAGGGAGGGAGGACTGCTGTCAAGGTTTCCACCGGCGTCGTGCCGGAAACATTCTTGCAAACTCAGCTCAGAGAGGGCGCGCCGTGCTTTCAGACGGAAGAGACTCCCGCCTTCACTCGCAGACCAACCAAATTCGAACGCCATACAATGGACAATATATTGCAGCACAGTGTTGCCCCACTCCCACGGCCAGAAATGGGCAAACATTTATAGCCCAATCGCCAAGCGAGGAAGTAATTGGATACACAACTTGACTGCGCTGCTTGCGACCTGCTCCCCAAAGTATCGCTTTGCATAAGAAACGTTGCCATGGCCCAGCTTTTGTCGAACAAGATCAGACACAGCTGCATCCCCCAGGCTTCCCTGCTCTCGCACGAAGCCGCCCACCTTGTCCATGACATCAGTAAGCGAGAAAGACTGCCACGCCTGGTACACGTAAATGAAGACGTAGATGGAGACGCCTAGGACAAGGAAGAGGAACACGAAGAACAAACACATGACAGAGAATACCATGCACATGCAGCAGTCAGGGACCTTATGTGAAAATGATGTGCCAATCTGCGCCTTCATGGGGTACACGTGCGGTTGCACCATGAAATCGCCACCTCAGCGCTCTTCCTTGAGCAAGCTCCACAGACACTCTGCCCGCGGCGCTCGCTTATGCGGAACCTTGTCCACCCGATCCTCCATCCACTCCTGGATGCTCTTGTTGACGTGCGCCGGCCACGTAGTCTCCGTCAAGACCTTCATGATGGCAGCGTTTGACCGCTCCTGGATTTTGACGTGACCCTTCGTGATCTTCCGGAGCACCCCCATCTGGACCAGACTCAACTTCTCTGGATTGTCTGCCTCGGTCGTCCCCGGCACCGCAGTGTCCTCGTTCGTCTTCTGGGTCATGCTCTGCACGAGCTCCTTGAGTTGGGCAAGCTGCGTCTCGGTGAAACCCTCTGCCGCGGACGTAGCCGGCGGCGTCGGCGGGAAGGCCGCAGCGCCTGTGCTCGGAGCTGCACCTGCTGCCGCCCAGGGCGCCACCTGCGAGCCACTCGAGCTGACCTGGTTGAGCACCTCGTCGAAGCGCGGCTTAAGGCAGTCGGCGAGCGCGCGCCCCTGCTTCTGGAACAGGGTCTCTGCCTCTGCCTCCTTCTGGGCCTTAAGGAACGCGGCGTACTGCGGGTCCTCACGCTCAAGCAAGAGTTGATCCTTTTGCACCCTGATGTGCCTGCGCTTCTCTCCTGTTGACGAAGATGACAGTGAGCGACTCCTTGCCCCGGCTCCTGTCGCCGCGCCATTCCTCTGGTGGCCGGCGGCGCTGGTCACGCTGGAAGTACGGTCGCCCCCCACCTTTCATGATGCGGCAATAGTCACGAAGCACCTGACGAACACAGATGGCTGCGGAAGAAGTTGGGATGCTGTGCGCCACACTCCGCAGAACCGTCAGAGTCATGGGATACCCCAGGCGCAAAAGCTCGAGATACACTTCTAGCATTGCCACGGTCGTCATATCTGGGCCCAGCATCGCGTCTCTGCAGGACGCCAGTTTTCCGAGCAGGATGCCCCGAAGTTGCCCAAAAGGATACGGCAAAACCCCAGCCCATGGGATGAATTGTTGCTTCTCTGGCCTCGGACGCTCGCCAAACAACCACTGCCGATTCGGGTTTTTGATCGTCCACGCCACCTGCATGCCGTTCACAAAAAACATCTAGGTTGACCCAGGTAAAGTAATCGTCATCGTGGTTCTCGTCTGAACTATACACAGCAGATCTTTTTTTCTTCGTACAGTGAAGTGAAGAAGCTCCCGAGACACCTCGAACAAAACCAAATACTAGCTGCACAACCGTCATCCACGTAGCGGACCCAGCCGATGAAGCGCCCCAGCCGGAAGCCCAGGCCCCCAGAAAACCCAGCCAGGACAGCAACCTCAGAAGCACGCAACTCTTCAGCCGACAACCTCACTGCCACTGCTGCACTGGACATCGTACCTTCAATAGACATACCATCCAATCTTACCACCTTCGGGCCTAGCATCGCGTACATACCTGCCGCAGCTCCTACCAGCGCCTTCCCCAGATCAGCTAAACTCAACGTCCACCACTGATCTCCTCGAGACGCCCTGCCTGGTTGAAAACCTTCTTTGGGGCTACGACTCACTAAGACATCCTGGGTGTCGAACTTGCTGGAGTAGGCCTCAGAGATCTGGGACCACGCCTGGGGGAGATTAGACGCGCGACACGCCTCGAACGCCTGGTCAATGTCCCACACGAAGTATGACACCGAATGGCGCTTCCTGCCCCCGCAACACATGCACGACTGGTGCGGCCTTGGACCCGGCGGAGGCTCAAGCGTCTCGACGATCGCTTTGAAACGGGAGGCCGTCTGAGCAGCCCCGAACACTTCATGACCTGACAAACTCTTCACAACGCCCCTCACTGCACGGCCCAAGATTCTTCAGGCTTACGCCACATCCGCCGACCCCTTATGAAGAATCGCGCAGTGGTCTTGTCGCCTCTTTGGGTGGTCTGAGGCCCCTGGGCCATTCTTGGGGCATTCTTGGGTTGTCTTGGGGCCCCTTAGGCCGTCCTGGGGCAGTATTGGGCTGTCTTGGGGCTCTCTTGGGCTGTCATCGGCCTCTCTTGGGCTGTCATGGGGCGCTCTGGGCGGTCTTGGCCGTCGCCATCTGTTGCCGAGGACTGTGGTATGCCCTTGGTGACCTCAGAACTGCTTTGCGGTGTCTGTTGGAACCGTCAGGGGCGGCCGTGGGGTAACCTTGAATCGTTTCAGGCCATCGTGAAGCTATCTTGGCCCTTCCTGACGTTAAGCGGAACCGTCTCGGCGTCCTCTGTGGCTGTTTTGGCGCTCCATGAACCTCTCTTGAGCCGTCCTGGAGGTCTTTTGGGCCGTCCTGGGGAGACCTCGGGGGCGTCATAGGCCGTCTTGGAGCGTCGGACAGGCGGGAAAGCGAGTTTGCTAAAAAATTACGTTTGACGAAAGGAATGGGGCCATTTTTGCGTCTTGGGACCCTGTTGGGGCACATGTTCGGGGCACCTTGGGGCGTCTTGGGGGCTGCGGAGAGCGTCTGGGGACCATCGCCGGCGTTTGGGGTCGATATTCCAGCGATTCGCGGCCCCTTTGGACCGCGTGGGAAGGCGTCTTGGGGCTGTCTTGGAACATTTTGGGGCGCCCCCCCCCCTTTGACGCGCATTGTCCAGGACCTGGCGCGGCCCGGGAGGGGTCAAATTCCTGGTTTGGGGTCCCCAGGGGGGGATTCTATGGGTGGAACAATCTCACACGCCTGAGGACCCACAAGGGGCCAGCGGATTTTTGAAAATTGCTGGTCGCCCTCTTGGGCCCCTCTGGGTGCCGTCTTCGAGCCCTGATGGGCCGTCTTGAGGACCTCTTGGGCCGTCTGGGGGCAATCTTGGGCCGTCTTGGGGCCATCTTGGGGGCCTCTTGGGCCGTATTGGGGTCGTCTTGGGGGGCTCTTGGGCCGTGTTGGAGCGTCGGGACGCCGAAAAGGCGAAAAGGCCAAAAACGCAATGGACATGTAATGACATGCGTAGTTTGCGCGTCTTTCAGATGTCCTGAGGGTCATCTTGAAGATGGTACTCAAGGGCGGTATGGGCACCCCCGATTACGGACACGGCTGGGATCTCTTGCGGGGCTGCTCGCGGTACTGTTGGAGGCAGCTTCGAAGCCTCTTGGGGGCCGTTTTGGGGCCGTGTTGGGGCCTCTTGGTGGCTTCTTGGGGCCTCTTGGGGGCGTTTTGGAGGTCTCGTGGGGCCTCTTGGAGCCTTTTGCGGCCGTCTTGGGGCGGAGGGCTCGGATTGTCGGGTCGGGCTCCCCCTCTTGGGTCCCTCTTGGGGCCGTCTTGGGGCCCTCTTGGACTGTCTTGGGGGCCTCTTGGGCCGTCTTGGCGCCCTCTTGGGCCGGCTTGGGCCACTATTGGGGGCTTCTTTGGCCGTTTTGGATCGAACATGGGGTGTTTATGGACCGGCCCCGGGACCGGCAAAAGTGAGTCAGGCTGGAGATCTGGTCCTGGGGGAACGCCCTGGCAGGCCCGGTTCCGATCCGAGCCGATCCGATTTCGATGTGCTGTTCGGATTCTGGTTTTGGTCCGAGTCCGTTCGGGTTTCCCGATTCCGAGTTCGATTCCGATTTCGATTTGGGATGTCGATTTCGGATGTCGGTGTCGATGCAGAGGGCCCTGCTTGGGATCCAGGACCCGTTTCCCTTAGGACCCGTTTGCTTCGTGCTAAGCTGCGGGGTGCGTCGCAGGCCACGGGCGTCGGCGCACCATCGAAGAAGCAAAACACGCGCGGTTTCGGGAGGACGAATTCCTTGAAACTGTCGCTATTTATGCGAATCAGGACATTCGTTGTCACGTCGGGAAGCAGAGAGCTGTGCAGTGGGCCAAGGAGCGAGGAGAACAGCTGCTCTGGGTCGCAGCCAGGGACCGCCCTTGCCATGGGGGGGAACAGAGGCGGCCGTACACGGTGGAGGATAAGATACGTTGGCTGGGGTACCACGAGAAGGAGTGCGCAAGCTTGCCTGGGTGGCTGGCGCTGGCCAAGGGGATGCCC